GTATATAATTCATAAATTCCAAGTATAAACTCTTATGATTATTGAAAGAACCCAGCTGACCATAAAGGACATCCGTACATATCTGTAAGGTAGCCTGAAGAGGTACGTTTGTAAATAAACTATATGAAAGGAAACCATAACTTTGTCAGTGGAACAAAGTTCATGGTCTCTAATTAAATTAGAGAACCGGAAGAAATCTGAAAATGCACATCAACTGAAGAATACAGATCAGAAATATTATTTAAAAAACAGCAAGCTATGTCGGTCTGAACAGAACCTAGCATTGACAGGATATGTCTCAAAACACGTTCCTTATGAACTTTGGGTAAAGCATACATTCAAGGACAATGAGAACCAGTGGATCTAATTTATGCAGCATTTTGGTTAGAAGTCTACTTAAATATATACAATTAAAATATGCATAAAAATCCAGGTTGACCGTTTCAATGAAGTCACCATGAGTGATTTGAAATAGGTTCTAATAATGACAATTTTATCACATCAGTACATAAAAAAACACGAATAAAAATTCATCTCCCCTTACTTACTTTATATATATATATATATATATATATATATATATATATATATATATATATATATATAGAGAGAGAGAGAGAGAGATCAACACTTTTGCACTTTCATCGCAATTCTACAGGCATTGTTTCACAAATTAAGAAGAACAATTTTACGAAATTTTATAGGATCATTCAACATGATATCCATTTCATATATATATATATATATATATATATATATATATATATATTAAGACTCATTTAAACACTCAAGGAAAGTTAACAAACGCCACCCGCAAAAATATTCGTAGAAAATTTGACTATAATAGCCTCTTCCCTCTTGTACAAAATAGGCTAGAAACGATGGAATCATTGATAATGAAAAACGAAAGGGGCAACATTCAAAATTATCAACTGTAAACAGGGACACAATGTGCTGACTGTGATTGGAAAGAACATCATTATAAATATATAAAAATCTATATATTCAGTTTTAAAAAATCCTCAATAATGGATAATAGAATAGCTGAAATCGTTCAGATATATAGAACATCTGGACAATTATTTAAACACAGTTCATGATCAGAAAATGATATGTCTCAGAGGAACACCTTCCTTATGAACTTTGGGGAAACCATACTTCTACGAATACAAGAGAAATTGAATAAGATGCTTAATCTCAGTAACTTGCCAGTCGTCGTAAATGACAACTTGTATAAAAATGAATTGCTGCCCAAATACACAATTACGTAAACACAATATGTGTGATAGCCTCCAGCTCGTTCAGAAATATTTAACTGTCAGTATTATACAACTGTTCTCAACCCTCAGATCAATTTTAAAAATGGCTTCGAGCGAATAAACACTATAGGTCTTAGAATGTTTGTTTATAATCAAATCTCATAAACTGGTGCTGAAGAATCACAAATACGATGACTTTACTAACTAACAGAAACCACATCAGCTGAAGATTTTCAATATCAGTAACAACGAAAACGACTCACACATTTAACTCAAAGATAAAATAGAGTCATAATCCATAGAAGCTTTCCATACAAGTTCAAACAAATGCATAGGAATAAAACTTCCAACAGCAAGAAAAGTGAAAGTGCGCGAGAAACCTATTTTCCCTGGAAAACTGTTTTGAGAGACAGAATTTATAAATCCGAACAGACAGTAATGCTAAATTTTCAGTCAATGAATACTGAATATTTCCTTATATGGAAACGGCTAATCAATAATTTTAGATGTAATTCTTAAGAGAAAAAATGCAGTCACTATTTCCTATAGACTGAATTTTGTTCACGATGTAATTGTCTGGAAGCAATTTGAGATCGGAATTAAAAACATGCATCAGTTATGAAAAAATGCATTCGAATAATATTATATGTTAATTAACTTGGATAAATGAACGAAAGAAAGATTAGAATACTTCGGCTAAAGCATTGTTTCAGTAGTAAAAAGACGTAATTGAAATTGTAGTCATCGAAGGCCTGTGCGTAAGGGTGACTGGCGCGGGAAAGTATTATATGAGAGCCGAGTTCAAGTCAGTTCCTAGTTCTTCATTTGCGCTAATGCATTTGTGAATGGTATGACACATCTTCTCAATCCCAGTTAATATCTAAAATGCGTAGTAAAATGTGCTTTGTCGCATTGAGGGGAAGACAGCTTAGGTAAAGTGCAAATTTGAATATAAGACCGTTGAGAATTGAGTTCATCATCTTTACAAGAAGGCATGGTAAATCACAGATAATAAAGAAAGGGAATCTGTGGAGAGCCACGACCGTTTACTTCCTGGAGGAACGGTAAGTAATATGGAAAAGATAAGAGGAAATCAATCATTTATAGCACTGATAATAAAGAAATGAAACTGGATAGACATGATTACCTACGTCATGAAAAAACATGATATTAAAATAAACAGGTTTTGACCGTTAGATGTGTAATTATCATTTTTTTCTAGAAATTTTATCATGTTATTGTTTTTTAATTTATTACACTAGTTTTGTTCAATGCAAAATTACTCGAATAGATTAGAAAAGGGTTCCCAAACTTTTTGGTGTCATCACATGGAAAAAATTTTCATCGCCCAGCTGTTTAGTAAATATACAAAAGGAGTGACAGAACTAATTTCAACTGGGGACTAATTTCAACTCGGGGCTAATTTCAACTGTGAATTGATTTCAACTCGGAATAAACTTCAACTCGGAACTAATTTAATCTCGGAACTAATTTCAACTTGAAATTAATTCCAACTCGGAACTAATTTCAACTCAATTTAAAACCCCTAACCCTAACCCTTAGTTCCAAGTTGAAATTGTTTCCGAGTTGAAAGTAATTCTGCACTCCTACAGATGCATACCTAAATTGCGTGGTAAAAGTTTGTAACTGGTTCGTAAACTGACTTTACGATATAGTAAAAACACCAAATGGCAGTATCAGATGACTTTTTCTGCGGCTTCTGCTACCGTGTTAAAGAACAAACCAATGCAAACTTCACCATTAAAAATTATATATATATATATATATATATATATATAATTTAGATTTTTTGTTATGTTTAGCGTTGCAAGTGTTGACTAAAAATAAATAAAAATAAACGATTTTTATAAAATTAAAAGGAATATACACTACTAGTAACTAATAAAAATTCCGCGAATATTTTTGGTAATGTTTAATACTGAAGAACTATTTTATTGTTATTGACCATTCTTATAATAAAGGAAACATCAAAATATTCAATTCTTGACTGGATATTTATATCTTATCTCGGAATGGGATCCAATTATTTCCATTTAACCTCGTGTTTTTTTATACAGGATCTTTGCATATCTCCTTTGAATTGTTTTTTTTTCGGGTAGAATATGTTGAAATACATTTTTAATCCTTTGTGGATTGACTCTTTAGCCATAGTTCAGGCCCTAAGTGGTGCTACCACCCTGAATTTGGTTGAAACTGGGAACAATAGCAATTAAGAGGTGGTTCCATGCTCCTGAAAATCTCCCGATCTTGCTGCCGAATGTAGTTTCTCGTCATACCCAGACGGAACAACAGGTCAACAATTACACCCTTTTGTAAATGAATTGAAACCAAACGAATAATTCCGCTATTATTTTGTTTCGTATTTTTACAATAGTTAGTGTCCATTCAACGAAGTCGTTTCTTACAAACTGACCATAGATACTCGACTGGTTTTAAATCAGGAGAGTTTCCAGGCCAGTCAAGTACTTTGATTTGCTCACTTGCCAGTGTGTTCGTACAACGTTACAAATTGGTGTACGCTTTCTTGGAGTAACGCCCATTGCAGACAATGGCTGCAGGACAACTAATCGATAGTCAAGACAAAAGTGTCTGGGCGTGATGAAAATCAGAGGCAATCACGGATGACGCAATATTTTTAAGTCCAAACAAATTTCATGATACACCCCGAAAATAGATCCATATCACTGCACACCACTGCAAATGCGCTAATCCAAGGATGAAATAGAAATCGATTACTCCCCCGTCACCCCAGTGGGTTTAAAACTGACTGTATGGTGAAAGAAAGAAAACTAAAGCGGTTGTTTCAATTAATTTGTACAAGGATAGACAAAGAATTCAAGACCGCTCATAAGAATCCGCCAAGTGAACTGAAAAGTCTAAGCAATCTATGGATAATGCTAAGTGACACAATTCAATGTTTAATAAAGGACGATAGAAGTTTAACTTCTCGGAGTTTTTAACCGAGTATCAGGTTCATAGCCACATCAAGTTGAAAGACCAGTACGATTACATAAATTAAGCAGCGTCTAGTCTCGTCAGTATCTAGATGGGTGACCGTTTGGGAATACTCAGGATTATAAACTTGGATACGCGGGTGGTTTAATAGATAATGACTCAGAATTCTTACTCGGAGACTCGGGTTTCAATTCCAGTTATCTTATTTATATTCACTTACACTTGGGAAAGGTACGAAACATCCTCTTCTCCTCCTCCAGCAAGTGTTAATTATTAAGCCGTGGATCACTAACCCATTATTATTTTTAAAAATTAAAAAAAATTCTTACAATCTAGAAAGAACATTTTCTCGTTTTAAATAACCTGCAATAGGTTGATAAGCTGTAAAAAAAGTATCAGTCAACCAATCAATGATTAATCTCTGTTCATCACCTTTTTGTTTCTTTTATCGGAAAAAGCTTTGAAGAGTGCTTGGTCCCGTGGATTCTAACCTTTCCTCCTATCACAGTGAATTAATGTACTTTTAAAATCATAAGACTAGCAAGTGTATAAATATGTCATTCCGTGAGAGTTCGTCGTAAATTGACGGTTCGAGTATAAAGATGATAATTCATTTTTATGTGGTTGTTCATTAATATTTACGACACGAATAAGGTTTAAGAACTTAGTCTAATCAAGGTCCATTGATCTGCTGCACGTCTTTCAATTTTTCTTAACGTCCTTAATCCATCCCTTCTTTCCTTTTTCCAATTCTATATTCCTTAGTCTCTTACGCATTTTTCTTTGCGTTCTTTCCTTCAAACTTTCCCAAATACTTTTTTTTCTTTTTTTCTTTACTTCTTCCTTTCCAATTTTGTTTCAATTTTTCGCTCCTCACTCGATTCCTTCCTTTTCTTCTTCCTTTCTTTCCAATCGTGTTTCAACTCTTCATTATTCCTTTTCCTTTCTATTTCTTTCATTCTTTCTAATTTTGTTTCCATTATATGCTCATCTTTTCCTTTCTTTCTTTGCTTCTTTCTTTCTTTCTTTCTTTCTTTCTTTCTTTCTTTCTTTCTTTCTGTCTTTCTTTCAATGTTTCATTTATTCGCTACTTGCTTTATTCCTTCCTTTTCGTCTTCCTTATATTCCTTCCTTTTTTCTTTCTCATTTTGTTTCTATTATACCCTATTCTTTTTCCTTTCTTTCTCTCAATGTTTTTTTTTAATTTATTCACTACTATTTTTATTCCTTCTTTTTCTTCTCCCTCTCTTTCTTTTTTTTATTTCTTTCCAACAGTGTTTCAATTTTTCATGAAACTCTTTATCTCTTCCTTTTCTTTCTTTCTAATTTTGTTTCAGTTATTTGCTACTCTCATTATTTCTTCCTTTTCTTCTTCCTTTTCTTTCTTTCTTTCTTTCTTTCTTTTCAGCCATATTTTAACTCTTCATTATTCCTTTTGTTCCTTCCTTTTCTTCTCTCTAGTTTCTTATATATTCTACTCTCTTATTTCCCTTTTTCTTCTTTCTAAATTCCTTTCATTTTTAGCAATAACATTTTTCATTTCGACTGTAGTTATTTTCTTTTTTTATAGTTTTTCTTCGTGTCTTTCTTTCTTTCTTTCTTTCTTTCTTTCTTTCTTTCTTTCTTTCTTTCCTGGCCTACATCTGCTTTCATTTCCTTTTTCCGCATCCTTTTGCACCCAAAGCTTTTATTCTTCAAGAACTTCCGTCTCGACAGCGACCACTGAACGATTCATTCACATCTTTAAACAAAAGTATTCTTTCATTTTCCTGTTTCTTTATCTCACTGTCATGTCTGCCTAACACCCGCCGCAATTTACACTGTTATTCTCCAGACCCTTATAAACAAGTGGACAAATAAACTGACCACTTGAAAAGTTCATTTTGAACAATTTCTCATCCAAACAGAAACTGGTACGTGCAGTCGCTTAAGTTAAATACATTAATTCTTTACACACACACACACACACACACACACACACACACACACACACACACACATAAATATATATATACAGGGTGACAAAAATAAACGGGAAATTTTTAACACTCCAATAACACCAAGAGTGATAGAAGAAAAATATTTTATTCATAGTAATTGAAACCTTAAAACATGCCATTTAAGAAACAATGATGGAATTTTCATTTTTTAAAAATTACGTCCTGTAGATGGCGTCCTCCTGTACGAATACATTCTTGAAATCTGCTGTTGAGATTCCTCATTGACTGCTGCAACTTCTCAGCTGGGATACTGTGAATTTCATCTTGAATTCTAAATGGTGAAATGTTTATTTGCTCAAAGGTCACTGTCTCGCAGTATTGCCACTTGCTCATGTCTGGCAATACGCACTTCAAAATTCCCATTTTTTTTTACCATTATATATATATATATATATATATATATATATATATATATATATATATATATATATATATATATATCATAGGATAAAGAACAAAGAGAAATATTTATGAATCTTACATGTTTCCCTTTCGTTTAAGCTTCATCAAATAATGAAATATGAAGAAAAAAAGGAAGTAATGGTAATTTTATTTTTATGTTGTTGTTTTTCGCTAGTTAAAAAACACCCCATATATATATATATATATATATATATATATATATATATATATATATATATATATATATATACTATAATATGTTTTCTCTTGATAGGTTATTTTCATAGATATAATTTATTTAAATAAATATTCTGTTTTTAATTAAGCGGTATTAATTACGTTTACCGACCTGAAAATGTTCGAGAAATTTCGTAGAAAATATGCAGTTTCCGACAGAAATCGAACCTCTAAACTATGACAACATATATTATGAAATGGATTAATTCCGACAATTATCTCTGTAGCTGAATGGGATAGCACGTCAGGTCAAATGACGGTTTCTGTATAGGGATGCAGGTTCGATTCGATAAACAGAATGTTTCATTAAATTCGACAGACAAGGTATTAAAATTAAGCGTTTTATTTAATTTTTCTTGTGTTCGAACAAGTGTTTTCTTTTCTGGACATAGAGTGTATAGAAACTGCCTCAATGTTCTATAATTCCAACACTTTCGGCTATATTTTTGTCATTATGAAAGATGATTTGATTTTTGCTTTTTAATTGGGTGTATGGGTTGGCTGTATGGGTTGTGTGTATGTTTACACTTATCCGAACACAGCTCTATTACAATCGTAGTCCGTTTAAACTTAATCGTAGTATGTTGTCTGTCATCTTTAATGAAACATATATAAATGAAGGATTGCTGCCTAAATACACAATATATATATATATATATATATATATGTATATATGTATGTATGTATGTATGTATGTATGTGTGTGTGTGTGTTTTTAAGGAATTGATTTTGATAATAATCCATAATCCAATATTATTTCTTATTATTATTTACATTATAAAAATCATGCCGAAGTGCACATTGTATTCATTAAAGATTCTCAATAGACTAAGCCCACTGTACGAAAATATTCTGTTTAAAAAAGAAAAAAAAACTACTCAAACACGTGCATCCACTGAATATGACGTACACTCTTCCCTACCAATTTCAAAGTTTACGAGAGATTAGATGTATTTAAACATGAAGCTTGAAGGAATCACAAGTTTTGAATTCAGAGTTATCATTGACTTCGACTTGTTGCCACGTATAAACAAAACAAGAATATTCTGCTCTGCCATTTAACCAATAGCGGGAGGAAGATTGGTTCATGGCGTTTACAAGGGCGTTAACGTAATTGACGGAAACGTTCTAATGCCAGCCGTCCCTCACTTCAGCGTATATACCCTTAGGAAAAAATATGGATGCATTTCTCGTCCAGCTATCACTTAAATAGAAAGACAGCCAGAGGCTCTACGTGAGTGTGTCTGAATTCGCAAACTTGAATAGATGGAAGATTTGTTAGCGATGGTCATCATGCTAATTTACCGAGACAACAGTCATCAAGTATGTATCTAGTTGGCGGATGAAGGATGGTGACTTCGAAGAAGCGTCCGGAAAGGTGTTGATATGGAACTTCCAAACCATATATATATATATTTATTGTTTTAATTAAAATAATTGAGGCACAAGGCCAGAGGGAATGGGGAAAAGCTGGTCGACCCTTACTATCCTAGGCCTGTCTAATCTGATTCATGAACCATTCATTCATTACAATTTGCTCATTCATCACAAAAATTCACCATTCAATACTACATATACCAATATACCATAAATTTACATGGAACCTAAAAAAAAGAATAAAATAAAATTTCAATATGTAGAAAAAGTAACCCTAACGCAGGCCCGATTTCGATGTTTGTGGAAGGCTTTGCTTAAGAAAAGTAGGAAGATTACGTCATATAGAAAACGTCATCTAATACGTTACGTCAAATAAGGTTACTTCATATGGACAACGTATCTCAGAACACCGACCAAGCAGAAAATGGCAGTAAGTACTGAGAATTTATGTCATATTCCTGGATGAATTTCCAAGTAAGATGATGGGCTGAAAAAAAAAACATATAGACAGTCAGAAAATTAAGTCCGTCCGATTTAAAGCGGCACATCGGTTCACGTCTTAGAATGATATCTTTTGATAGTCATTCCCGACAAAGAGATGACATTAATTTCACACACACACACACATATATATATATATATATATATATATATATATATATATATATATATGTGTGTGTATTTAAATTCCCAGATCAAATCTATGGACAAGACAAATTGGTATAAAATGACAATTGGAAAAAAAAATCCAAATTAAAAAATCCAAATTTAATTTTATACCAAATTATCTTGTTCACGGAATTGATCTGGATATTTAACTATATTTTCGACATGGAAAGAAAAAAAACTCTTAGTATAAAAGAAATTTGCATTAACCAGAAAGAGGTTTGCGCAAAAGCGTCTCTGTCTTTTTTAAATTTGCATTTTTTAATGTAGCTATTACAACAAAAACATTTCAATTTCATTTTTGCCTTGAAAAAGTCGGTAGACGAAACGCGTCAGAAAAAAACAAGGTTTTTTTCCAATTGTCTGTATATATATATATATATATATATAAAAGTGAACATTAGTCAACACTCAAAGATAACAGGTTGTTTCATGCTCGACTCAATCGTCAGGGTGCCTTAACGATTGCTTCTAGCATGAAACAGCCTCTGTGTGTTGACTTCAATGTCCCTTTATATATATATATATATATATATATATATATATATATATATATATAATTTTTTTAATCCTTCCTTTCTCTGTTAGTGGGCTTTTGATTCTGTCTAAAGACAAAATACAGCGGCCACTTTTTATTATTTTGTAGGGGTGGTTGGGTCCTACTAACATCTGTTATATTTAGTTTGAACGTTTTGTTATACTTTAGTTTCGTTTTCTGGGTTCATCCTCTCCTTCTCATTTCATGAGCATATATATATATATATATATATATATATATATATATATAAAAAACAAAATGGAAAAAAGAGACAATTGAACTATTTTTGCCTATTGTAATTTTATGACAGGTTCCCTGTGAATTTGTGTTATTGTGGTAAATGTAGTATTGTACGGTGAGGGGTGAGTGAACGACCAAATTGTTAGCAATGGCTGGGTCGTGGATCAGATGAGCTAGGCTTAGGAGAGAAAGTGTCTACCAGACTTTCTCCATTTCCTCTTTGGCTTTGTGCCGCAATTATTTTCATTAAAACAATAACTATATTTTTTTCTCGCAGGGCGAATTGTTGTGCTTCTTTTGTCAATTAATATTTACCAACATATTCTTCTTTCACTCACAAGGTTTGAATGAAACACTTGGAACGATTCCCAGGTAATGACCAATGTTGCCACACGCTCGCATCGCCTTCCCAGCTTCTCTTATTTTCCTGACAAATCGCTCATGGTGAAATTTGAACCCCGGTCTCATCTTATAGTCGAAAGTAAACGTTCCAACCACACCTGCCCGTACACACACAGATACACAAACAATCAAATTTGATTAAAAAGATCCGACAATGTCTGTCTGTTTAATTTTTTGCTGTATTTCTCCAATTTTTGGATAATGTGTCGGCTTTTGTGCTTGATGGAATTTGTGGATAAACTGTCCGAAGTTTATATAATATTATTTTTGTTCAAATAATTTCGACTTTCGCAATCATTATCAAGAATCGATATGATGTCTGCGTAGTATTTATAATTCTTTTGTCTGCACCTTGGCATTCCTTTCGGAAGCTGGACGTTTGAAATCGTCTCACGTGACGTCATGTGTAACGGTTATTGGGAACGAGGCCGCACAAAAAAGATTGCCATTTATTGCTTTTGATACATATTTATTTATTATTACTATGGTCATTAATTTATTTATTAATTTAAATCATTTTTTATTTATTTATTTTATGTTATTATTATAATAAAGTATGGACACACATTAATGCATTTTAAGATACCTTCTCCTACTGTGAAATATTTTATTTAATGTGGGCTGTTTATTTTGCTTGATAATAGCTTCTAGTATTTTGAGTCTTTCCTTGTATTGTGTGCTGTAGAGTATTTGGGTGTTGTCTATTAGTACATTATACATTATGTATTTGTCTAATGATCATAGTTGTACTTTGGCCTTTCATACTGTGCAGGTTAATGTGAGCACGGAATGCATAAGTTTTGACAGGTGACAGGTCAGTCTTCGGGAGAGTGTGGGACATGTGTGCCCAATGTAAGTATTCAATATTGTTTATTTTTTTTTTATTAGTGTTGAAGATGCACTCTCCCAGGGGATGTGACAATTCATGGATATTTTTTTCTTTTTTTTTACATCTGGGAG